GAGGACAGCCCTGACAAGAGCTGCCCCATCCACCACAAGCCACACCCACTCAAGAAATGCAGAGGTTTTAGAGCCAAACCCATCGACGAACGGAGATCCTACCTCAGAGAGAATGGTATCTGTTTCAAGTGTTGTGCATCCACGTCTCACCTCGCAAAGGACTGTAAGGTAGTAGTGAAATGCAACGAATGTGACAGCAACCAGCACAATGCTGCTATGCACCCGGGTCCAGCCCCGTGGTTGCCAAAGGCCTCCCTTCCTAAATCACAGCAAAGCGGGGAGGAAAACGCTGATTCTACCACAACACCTATGGTCAGTACCCAATGTACTGAAGTATGTGGTAACAGTCTCACAGCGCGGTCCTGTTCCAAAATATGCCTGGTGGAAGTGTTACCACAACGACAGCCGGAAACAGCAGTAAGGATGAACGCCATACTCGACGACCAGAGCAACAGGTCATTAGCTAGGTCAGATTTCTTCGACTTGTTCAACATAGAGAGCAGTCCGTCACCTTACTCTCTTAAAACCTCTGCAGGTGTCACCAAAATGACGGGGAGACAAGCAGTCGGTTTTCAGATAGAAGCCATTGATGGGGGAATAAGCCTTCCTCTTCCTCCTCTCATTGAATGTAATGAGATACCAAACAACAGAGAGGAGATACCCACACCGGAAGCAGCCGCAAACCATCCCCATCTACAACCCGTGGCAGCCCACATCCAACACCTCGACCCAAATGCACCGATCCTTCTCATGCTCGGAAGAGATATCTTGAGAGTTCACAAGGTGCGTGAACAAGTCAACGGCCCACACAACGCTCCTTTTGCCCAGCGCCTCGATCGGGGCTGGGTGCTCATAGGAGATGTTTGTCTCGGGAATGCACATAAGCCAAGCGTGAACAGCTTCAAAACCAACCTGCTAGAAAAGGGACGGCCGTCCTTCCTCACTCCATGTCCAAACGATATTCATCTTCAAGAGGAGATACACTACAGCGGGGAGCAGCAGAGCGGTTTATCTCAAGCGTACAACAGAAAGCACGCCGGGAAAGCACTTCACAAGGATCCCGGGCAAGACGTGTTCCAAACCAGCTGTGATGACAACAAGCCTGCCCTCTCCATCGAAGACACAATTTTCCTTGAGACCATGGACAAAGAGGTATACATGGACGATACTAACAGCTGGGTGACACCTCTCCCATTCAGGACACGGAGACTTCGCCTACCCAACAACCGTGAGCATGCACTCACTCGCCTCGCCTCCCTGCGTCGGAGCTTCGATAAGAAGCCTGAGATGAAGGAGCAGTTTATTGCCTTCACGAAGAAGATATTCGACAATGACCATGCCAAGCTAGCACCCCCACTCAAGGCTGGAGAAGAGTGTTGGTATCTGCCGACATTTGGCGTCTACCATCAACAAAAACCAGGCCAAATAAGGGTCGTGTTTGACTCGAGCGCTCAATACGATGGTATCTTCCTGAATAATGTCCTGCTCACCGGCCCAGACCTAAACAATAGCCTCCTGGGAGTTCTACTGCGTTTCAGGAAAGAACCAGTAGCAATGACTGCAGACATCCAGCAGATGTTCCACTGCTTCATTGTGCGAGAGGACCACAGAAACTACTTGAGGTTCCTGTGGTGTAGAGACAACGACACATCCAAGGACATCGTCGAGTACAGAATGAAAGTTCATGTCTTTGGTAACAGTCCATCTCCTGCGGTGGCCATCTACGGTCTCCATCGAGCAGCCAGAGAAGGTGAACACGACTATGGTGAAGACACAAGAGAGTTCGTCACGAGACATTTCTATGTCGACGATGGACTCAAGTCCCTACCCACAGCTACGAAGGAGCCATCAGAGCACCAGGCCTTTGGATCGTCGGTGGTGAGAGACTCATCAGCTCTGTCCTACACAAATGTGTAACCTGTAAGAAGCTCTGTGGCAAAACTTAGGAACAGCAGATGGCAGATTTACCGGCCGAGCGACTTAGCACCTTGCCGCCTTTCTCGTACGTAGGTTTAGACGTATTCGGACCTTGGATGGTCGTCACGCGTCGCACCAGAGGAGGCCAGGCCAACAACAAGCGCTGGGCAATCCTGTTCACCTGCATGAGTACTAGAGCGGTGCACATTGAAGTCATCAAGTCCATGGACGCTTCAAGCTGCATCAATGCACTCAGAAGGTTCTTTGCCATCCGCGAACCAGCTAAACAGCTGAGATCGGACTGCGGAACAAACTTCATCGGAGCTTCCAACGAGCTGAAACTTGATAAAAAACGGCAGCAGGGTATTGGAGTCCAGCGCTACCTCGCCGAACAAGGTTGTACTTGGGTATTCAATCCGCCCCACTCTTCACACATGGGAGGTGCATGGGATGATCGGAGTAGCACGAAGAATTCTCGACTCCATGCTGCTGCAGAGAAAACCTCTGAACCTGACGCACGAAGTTCTATGTACGTTCATGGCCGAAGTAACAGCCATCATCAATGCCAGACCTCTTGTTCCAGTCTCTACCGATCCCCAGTCACCATACATCTTGACACCAGCAATCCTGCTCACCCAGAAAGTTGGCGCCCTAGCTCATCCCAGACACTTTGACACGAAAGACCTCTTCAAGAGCCAGTGGAGACAAGTGCAGAGTCTTGCGAGCACATTCTGGTCTCGTTGGCGACGTGAGTACCTCCCCATACTCCAAAGCCGAAGAAAGTGGAAAGAGAGTCGTTGCAACCTCGAAGCAGGGGATATCGTTTTCTTGAAGGACAAGCAACTGGCGCGGAATGAGTGGTCAATAGGACTCATCACTACTGCAACCATGAGCGACGACTGTAGAGTCCACATCGTCGAGATTAAGGTGGCCGCTGCAGGAGGTACTATCAAGACGTTCAAGCGACCCATTTCAGAGGTCGTACTGCTGCTGCCTAAAGAGGACTAGAAACTGTAAGGTCATTCAGTCACGTCTTAACGATGCCAAGCGGGGAGTATTGTGTTTACATTGCTTCCACTGTATTTCTTAATAGCGCCCTCCTTTGACCGGTAATCTGAGAACCATGCTTTACACTCATCCACAGACAGTGGATTTCTCTCAGTGAATTTGTGCATCGTTTTCCCACATTTTCAGGGCACAAATTTTCCTCTCGCTCCTTGCTAACTGTATATAGCGCCTAGTGGCGCATTGCCTGTAAGTTGATTCCAGTTTTATTCCTTATCAAGAGGTGTTTCAAGTACTTTAGAGGCCTTTATAACATTTGGTTTTCATGTCAAATTTATCTTGTTTACACATGTATATACCCACATGTTGACATGTTGTATAAGGATGCAACAACATATAACACACCAAGCAATCCACGTGTTCATGGGAATGTGTATGGCTATTTTCTGCACTTGTAGGCCTGTTAAATAGACATATTTAGGGCTCTGTGAGCTCAGTATTTACATGCACATGTACTCGTTTGACTAGTTATTAGCATGAATCTCAGTGTATTTTGAGACTAGAGACTCATACATGTGTAGTGTTTGTGTAGTAATACTGTATTGCACGTATTTATAGCTCGTGTGTTCTTGTTTACTACGCAGTTTTACTCCATATTAATGACATCATCATCCAGTGTAACCAAATATTAAAACACCGGAGCTACATGTGGAGCTATTTCCTGACTCCCATTTCGTCAGTGATAAGAGTTTGGCTGGCAGCCAAATTGAGATTAGAAACATCTTAACGAGGGCAGTACAAGAACACTGTTCCCGGAGCAAGATCACACACACCACCTCCTCGTCTGGGTTTAAAGGAACACACAGAGAAACTCGTGAGATTTTGATTTTTGAACAGCTGTAAGAAACAGCGAGATGGTTTACAAAGCCGGAGACAATGGGAAGTTTTGCAAAACGAATAATAAAAATTTTCCAAAACACAGAAATGAATGTTCCTTTTTAAAAAGAAAAGAATTCTGCCCAGTTATCCAAGCATGAACCCTCGAAGAACGCAACAGACGCCGCCATTTTTTCTTGTAGTACTACTACCAGCGATAACCAGTTTTACGTTCGAGCGGCCAACCCACGAATAACATACGGAGCTGTTCTCGAACATACGAGAATTAGCCGCCCGAACTCAGCCTACGACGGCAAGACGCGACGTGGACGGTATGATACGATGGCATCAAGAAACAACACGACGCGACGGCACGACGCGACGCCAAGACGACACCACACAATGCAGTAAACACAGCAAAAAGTAAAGAGAAAGGAGGCGACGCCACGACGCGACAGGACAACGCGACAGAGCTGCTGTAGCGTCTCGTCGTGGCACTAGTGGAGAAGTTAAGAGAAACTCTTCTGTCCTCGCTATGAATGACATAGCTATGCAGAGGTTAAACACGTTCCCAAATAGACAGCCATAAATGAAAGAAGTCAGCCACTTATTGGAAACCGTGTGAAAACTGCAAATAAACAATACAAAGTCGTTTTGAGATAATGTTAGAATAAGTTGCAAAGTAAGAAAACAGTACACTACATGTGCCATACAAAAATCCAAAGACGATATAGGACAAGTCTACTCCAAGCCAGAACAAATCTAAGTACACAGTCCATGTGTTACTGAAGAACAACAGACATTGAAGAAAGTTTGTGCAACACTCCGGCACTCTCATTAAATATCAGAGAAAAAATAAACCCTTGTGCATGCCAAACAGTGGCTACATGCATTGTTTTGGCATGCACAAGGGGTTATCCACTACGAACACAGGCGAGGGTTTCCGTCGTCCTCTCTGAATGAGGCAATCTACATTCAGAATTCGTATCTTGGCATGAACAGAAATAAAACATTTTTAGCTGGTTATACATGAAGTTGAGCTCTGCAGACAAATGACACTGCGTTCGATTTGGATGCTTCCATATTTATTTGAAAAGATAAAATCAGAGAAAGCATGTTTTCCTTAGAGAGAAGTTCTTTATATAATTCCAAGTTTTTCTCTTTTATAAATCGCTCTTAGTAAACAAGACTACTTTACTCACCATAGGCCTATTGTCTATTGAAGATAACGGAACTCTAGATGTTTGAAGAGATTGTACCGTCTGTGGACTGGACATCTTCACTTTCCTGCAAAGGTACACAGAAGGTGAATATTATAACTCTTTGTTGCTCTTATAGTAATTGCCGTGGGCCTACTGAAATCCTTTTATTAACGAATGCTGAATTAGGTTAGTTGTAAACGTGCTACTAAATAGCCCGGATTTTACTTGAACGTAATTTTGGTACACACTGTATACATGGAGCCCCCATAAAAATTGATAAGGCATGCTACGTGAACAAATTTGGTCAAGTACAATCGATATACTCTAATCTTGCAATCGGAAGCAAGATGATTTGGCCACACTGTCAACTGAAATAACGACAGCACTTTTAAGGGGATGAGGCACTTTAGGTTGTAACATAATAATGAAGAAAATTACATTTATCTTCTTTTTTGTCCAACTGTGGACAGTTTGGAATATCTAAATAAAGGGCCCATGGAATTACAATATGATACTCTACCGGTACGAATATTCAAAACATGTCACCGCTTGTTCATGTACCGTTGCATAACAAAATGTAAAAGCTGATGTGCAGCGCCGAAAACTCCACCGGAAAAACCTTGGCAAGGCCACTTAAATGTGTTATCCACTCTGCAAAAATGCCCTTAAGTCATTCTATGCCTCTGTATGTAACAGACCATTCGAATGCATTCCGTACGTACATCTCCCAGAGATCAATTCTAAATTTTATCGTATCTCATGGAATAGAATATGCGACAGAGGCCAAAAATACACAAATTTTAAATTTTAAATTAAAATGCCTCTCTATCCGTGGGCATCTCTTAAAATCAATTTGTCACACAATTGCCCAAAGGCCATTTTTTTTGCAGAGCCAGTCACCTTTGGTTTGGCCGTAACAAAGTCAGCTTACCTCAGACCCGTAAACAGGGCCGAATACTCCTCCGTCGTATACTGGGCCCTGTCCCCATTAATAGGGATTCCTTTCGAAAACTTTATCCGGGATATCCGGGGGTATAACTAAACATCTGCTTATTTTTATTAGTTGAAATTGCACCGATATGTTAACTACTTACTTGTAAAAAAATCCGCTAGGTTGCTAATTGTAGAATACTCGCCTTTTCCTCGTTTGGGGGAAAAATGTCTCCTTTTTTTGCCGTTTTCCCACTCCGGACAAAGTGTCTCCACTTGCACGAAACTGACGGCTGTTTCGTCACTTTCGTGTCACTTTACAGAGAGCGAGCCGCGCTCCCAATGATTTTCCGCAAACAATGTGTGACTGGACAGGGAACGAGCCAAGGGCTTTGCGTATTAGCTGCGACACAAAACAGCCGTAATCTTCTACGAGTACTTAGGTCGACAGGTACTCTCGCAGATCTGAACGAGATTCGTTGGTGTTGAAGTCTGGGTGCAAGGCTCTCGTACAGGGTACCGTTACTTAACCATACAAAGGAGTCCGTGTAATGTACAAGTCGGGCGAAAATTCGTACGGAGTGGGAAAACGGTAAAACAGCGAGTTTTCTACAATAAGCAACCTAGTGCATATTTTACAGCGTAAGTAGTGAACATACCGGTTAAATTTCAGCCCATAAAATCACGGACCATTTACCCAGGGATGTGCAACCGCGAGCGGCCCCAGTGCAAACACATGTGCGACCTTGGCTCCATGCGTGTTACGGATTGCTATCACCCCCGTAGGTGCTCTCGACTATTCTCGAGAAAACTGCGACCACATGACGAGTTGCAGCATGCAGGGCAGCCGTGGTTATGCCGAGAGACGCGCCGACGAGGTGCTTGAATCTATTCGTTGCGACGAATAAATCTTCTTCTTTCAATGAGGCAAAATATTACAAGAAAACAAAGTGGTAGACAGGAATACATGTATATGTTTTATTATTAGAGATAATCAAATTTAATTTCTGCTTTGATATTGTGTCGGCCGTAACACGCATTGAGCCAGCTGTGAGCTTAAGTTGCACATCCCTTGGTAAATGGTCCGTGATAAAATTAAGCAGATGTTTAGTTATGCCCCCGGATGTCGCGGATAAAGTTTTCGAAAGAAATTCCTATTAATCGGGACAGGGCCCAGTATACGACGGAGGAGTATTCGTTGGGCCCTGTTTACGGGTCTAAGCTTACCTGTTCTCTCAAAGAATCAGGTCTTATGGTTATCCTGCGCTGTACGCCAACCGGATTGTAAAACTTCCTGCCG